AGACACACTACGAGCTACGGCAAAGAGGAGGCGGAATTAAACACAATCATTCGACGTATGATAATCATGGAGCTGAACAAGCATCGGAGGAGGGAGCAGACAATGCTGAAGAGAACTCACTCTGACACAGAGAGCGTGCTTGCAAGAAAAAGGTACAACGACGGAAGGAGGTATCGTTTGCACGTTTTATTCCTATCAGTGTCGGATATTTCATTGTAACTGGACTGCAAAAATCCTTTCGAAAATATTTTAGAAATGAATGGTTCGAGGACGTCGACCTTCTGAAAGTATTCGAACAGTTGTTGTTAGAGTGTCAATGTATCGATGAAATTTGGAATTGATCTGAAAATGTATTTAAACGTTAAAGTATATTTGTTAACAACTTCCCAAGAAAATTCTTCGAAAATTTCGGATTACTTAACACTAGAACTATCGACGACTAAAGTATAATATAAGGTGGGCCAAAAATCGCTTCCTACTAAAATAAATCCGTAATTATACACTTTAAAAAAATTTTCTTTTTCACAAGTACGCTAATTTGAAGTGCACTAGTTTAAAATTAATAAAATTAATTTTGTCTTATATTTTGATGTTTTATTAAAAAGAAAAAGAAAGGTGGGAAGAAACTTTTGGCCCGCTCTATATATTTATTTATAATAAAGAAAGTTGAAGTGCAAGAAGTAGTTAATTATATAATAAAAAACATACACCGTCATAAATATATATAATTTCCACAGCAAAATTATAATAATATAAATTGGTCATTTCGACCATTTTTGATAGTTCTAGCGTTAATGAGAGAAATCTTCGCCGTATGCAATTAATTTCCAAGTCAAAGGTTCGAGAGATTTTTCGGGGGGGGAGGGGGGGAAAAGAAAGAAATTGCTTTCAAGGAATCTATAGAGATATATTTTGCAGTTCGGGCATGATATTTCAGCCTCCACTGCCCGGTAGACGTGCGCAATTGTTTCAGAACAGGTCCGTTCGACGGCAAAGGCCAAACGTTCTTTCGAGATTTGCTGGAGCTGGAGGAAAGCCTGCGTAAACGCGTCGGCAGCCAAGCGGGCAGGCGATCAGCCGCAGTCGAGATCGACGAGACAACGACGACGACGACGAAACGTGATTATCCCGCGAAACAAGCCGGGAATCGCTCGACGAGGGATCGCGAACGCGAGTCGATCGATCCGATGACGACGAGCACGTGTCGCAACGTGGACTCGGATATTCGGCTGGAAAGAAAAGTCAACGCCTCCTGCCTGAGGGACGCCGAGGCGGAACGATCGATCGCGCCGAGGAAGTACGTGTTGTTCTCGACGAATTACTCAACGGCCCGTTGGAATTTGCCAAACTCGCGTCACCGCGCGGAGGAGCCTTAAATTACGGAAGCTCGTGTGCAGGAGCGAGTTTGATGCCACTGGCGTCAGAAAACAGAGGAAACATCGTTCGATGCGCGAGGCGCGCTGCTTTCGTTATTCAGCGACTTCCGACACGCCCTCGCCGACACACCTGGCACTCTGACAAATTTTCTACGCTCTATGCCTTAACGCGATTCCTATCTCCTTCTGTCCGGTGAAAAATTCCACTCTCGGCTGGATTGCGACATTTTCCTTATGAGATTTCCATATAATACGATACGATACTATGCAATGATATATATATAATATTAATATCATGTATAATATAATTATTAATAATTATATTATATCGTATATAATTTTTTGTGTCCAATCGATATATCGATATATCATAGTATTTGACTCGCGCGAGGGCAGACCGGAAATATTCGACGAGAGTATACTAAGATGGACCACCGTGGAGGTTAAGAACACAGTACTGTTCTGTTCCTCCCCCAAGATTTTCCTCCACGGAAAAAGAAATGTGTGTGACTTTTAGTGGAAGCTCGAGTTTAACTTCCGACTGGTAATGTCGAATATTTGGTGACACACAGAGTACTTTATATTATACAATTTTGGAACTTTTGCTCGGCGAAATTTTATTGCTTGTCTCGGTCAAAAGTAGAATTAAATATTCAAAGTTATGATAGCCTAGTAGAAATCAATTAGAGTCATTTATAACCGAGTGATGGTTTAACTAAATGATGGTTTCATGTAAGTAAAACTTTCAGAAAAAGTATTTAAACTGACACGTTAATAGTTAGTCTAACATTGGAATTCAAATGAATTCAACAGAATTTTCTCGTACTTGATTTAATACGTTAATTCCTGCATACTTTTTGCTATGCATTATCGTATTTTCATTTTAAAAAACCAAATTTTTAACCGGTAATATATGCATGTAACTAAATCGAATTTTCGTGCATAGAAAAATGTCATGATCAATTATCAACTTTACTACACTGATGAGAACTTCGAAACCAATACCAATCGTTCAAAGACAGCACTTATAAGGGAAAAAATTTGAAAATTTGAAAATTCCTACAGTTTCTGCAATCTCCAGCGCATTGTTTGACACTTCGTTACTTAGATTATTTATATTCTTCAGAGTGTCGACGACCGATCGACAGATTCAGGCGGACAAATCAACGCAGACGGAGCACGTGTACGTGATTCGAGCAGTGAGAAGTTGCCCCCTTCGAAAGAGACGTCTTCCGGCGCACCTGCAGCTGCATCGATTGGCATCAGGTCGCGATGCAGTCTCTTCGAGAACGGTTTACGCGAGTCCGGATCTCTCGACATTCGTCTTTCGAAAAGCCTCGGATAATCTCATCTACGAAAAAGGTAAAGCCAGTCGCAGTCCCAGTTACATACCAAACCCGGAAAGACACCGATGGAAATACATTGCACCGAGGAAAACCAAATGAAAGAGACCGGCGAACGAAACACAAGTTTCACTGAATATTAACTATAGCGTACGGCGGAAGCGCGCTTATTATAAAAGATTTTCATTGGTAATAATTTTTCGCATTATATGTGTAAAATGTTTTGAAATTTAATTGTCACATTATGACACGCGACTGCCAATAAGTAAGAAAGTATATTTATATAAACTTTATATAAATTCTACTAAACATATATATATATATATGTTTAGTAGAATTTATATAAAGCATGAATATGACTAGCAATTTTTAATATACAATAAGTGTTAAAAGTAACGACAATGTTGGGACTTATTAATGTGATGGACAATTAACTGTTTATGATCTTCGTGTAATGAACTGCTCAAAGTTCTTTGGACATTTTTAATATTCAGCACTTGTCGCCGATGATGTAATATTGAAATCGCACGTGTATTTTATAATAAAATCGTCAATTGTTAATTGTTAATGCCACTAAGATTCTAGAAATTCTTCATAAATGTAAACTGTTTTTTTTTTTTTTCATTTTTTCAATTAAAGTCTTAAGACTTTTGAGCCGGGGTGTGTGTACATGTACCAAATATTTCTACAGACTCGTTAAAAATTTCACCATCATAATCACGATTTACTACGTTATAACACTGTTGAAACTTCAAAATACACAAATATAAAATATGTCGAAAGATATATTCGAATATACTTTCGCGAGTCCTCCTGCAATTTCCTGCATGACGCTTCTATTGTTAGACGTTAAAATTAGCATAAAGCGTACGTCGAAAGAGAGAAATCGTGTCCAAATATTCGTCGGCGAAATAAAACGATGAATATTCAAAACCATTCTTGACAAGTGCGACGTTGACAACGTCCCAACTTTCCTTTAATCCGAAGCTTACAGGGTTGGCTTGACAACCGTGATATCAGAGACCATGTGCATTCTGATTAGGAATCAAGCGATTCGCAACGAAACTCTCTGATTTCCTACAAATCTGAATTTGCAGGCTTTCGACACAGTCACGGCCTCGAAAGTCCGTGGCATTCTAATTAGAAATCGGCTGTCGTCGTCGTTTGAAATCACGGCCTTTTAATTACCAATTCCATTTACTCGTGAAAGTCGAATCGATCCCACCTTTTCGTCCGTTTCTTTCCATTGTTTTCTCGAGAAACGCGCAGAACACGTTAGAAATTTTTATGTCGGACGAGACAAGGTGTTACTCGGACAAACCTCCAAGGCGAGTGTTTTCGACGTTCCCAATTCGGTATCGTACTCGTTTCTTTCTCTAATTCCTTTCTTTCCTTTTTTCTCTTTTGGAAGAAATTTCGAGGATTCTCCTATATAATTCTTCTCCA